GGGCAGCGGGCAGCAGCTCCAGAAAAAATATCAAAGGACCCTCATTCAAAGAGATTGCGCCAAAACGCAACAAACGTCCTCATCAATGTAAAAATGTTTGCTGACGTAAATGGGAAAAGAAAAAGGCTAAGATGAACTCTCTATACTCTATAAAATGGATAGAGGCGAATGAAAAAGGTGTGACGTGAACGTGATATAAGATATAGATAAGGAGTTGGTGCTGATACTAAAATAATAAATATATATAATAGTTATTGAATAGGAGACAAACATTGATTTAGAATTTAAATAAAGGAAGAGAATTTAACGGTTAATTATATGCCTCCATTTATGCAGGAAATTCCCCATGCACTGTCTCATTTGATAATTAATATTTATGTAAAAAGAAAATATTTCTGATCAAATCGTAATAATTATAAATTCAGCTTCAGTTTTCGCTCAGTGTATTACGTATTGCTTCATGAATCTCTAATACCTCAATCTGAGAGCATTCCAAGGGATGAAAAAATGATGCAAAATGTATATAGACATTGAACCCTAATATTTCAGAGTTTGCCAAAAAATAAAGAGAAGAGAAAAAAAAGAGGAGACAGGAGACAGGAGACAAGAGACAAGTGAAAGCCGCAACAAGGCAAAAGGCATCAAATTTAAATTGAGGTCATGATTGGAGCAATGCTTTGGTTAGATTTGGGCTTCGGTTTGTGTGTGTCTGGGGCATTGGGCGGGCTGTGGGCGTTTTCGCTTGATTTGGGCCGCATAGTCCAAGGCAGAACTGTAAAAAGCGTAAGCTGCCAAAAAAAAAAAAGAATATATATATGTACATATATACATATATAGTTTGCGAGAGGGTTTCTCTGTCAAACCTGACATTTGATTGCACATGATTAAGGGCTTAGAGCTGTTGATTTGCCATGCTGATTTAATAATGCATAATGATGATGATGATGATAATAATAATAATAATAATGTTTATCATGACGCTCTAAATCTTTGCACAGATTCAATCTGAGCAACGCGGAGGAGGCGCTCTTCTCGCTGGAGAATCTGGACACGCTCACCTCGATGATGATGCAGGAGAACAACTCGTTGAGGCTGCGCATTTACTCCTACAATCAAAAGGGACGCAGTGCAGCATATCTGTTGCCCGATTTCATAATTGGCTCAACGGCTTACAAGACAGGTGAGTGGCACGCAACATAACAAACACACACACATACGCACTCACTCACTCACTTACACACACACACACAAATACACTCAGCTGGCTAGGCTTGATTGATGGATGGGAATTGTTGGGCTGCTACTTGCATTTGACACGGAAAAGCAGCCTCTGAGAGCATAGCTCACCCGAGTCAGCTGCTTTTCAGTGATTTCATGTTTTAATCCCCGGCCAGTCTTGTTGTTGTCTACTCGCCTACTTGCTACTCCACATATGGCAGCGACACTTGACAGGTACCAGAGTCATCTGCAGTACTCACATAATCAACATGCCCGACTTCTGCTTGGGCCACATTCTGCTGCCTTGAAATATGTGCAAAATTACTTTCAGATCTGCCAGCTGCACTGCAGCAGCAGCAGCAGCAGCAGCAGGTGTAGTAATAGCAAAACATCGTTATTTTATATATGTATACATATATGTGCAGTACACATTGATTATGTGGAAAAATGTGTGCTCATTTGCACAGACGAATAACAAATATGAGTAGCATG